GGGAGAATCCTTGCCGAATAGTAGGCCTGTAATCCGTACTTAGCTCTGGTTATTACTGTGGTTGCTGTTGTTCAATTCGGAGGAACATGCTAGAAGCCTGAAAGCAAGACCTCCCTCCCACAACAGCAGTTTTCAGGGTGTCCCCTGGATCACCGGCAGCTAGAAAAATGCCGATTCCAAGGCCCCACCCCTGGGGGGTCTGACTCAGTATCTGGGGTCAGACTCAGGAATCTGCATCTTAAATAAATGCCTGGGTAACTCTCACTGGGGAAACACCACATCCACCCCAAGGCCAAAGACACCCTGGAAAGCAGGTCAGCCCTGGAGGAAAGCATGTGGCTGTGCGGACACAGGGCTGGGTGTCGTTTGGGACAACTGCCCATTTATGACTCTAGGTGGACTTTGTCAGCAGTCACGGCTAGGAAAAACTGGCATGCAACAGACACCTTTGGAATCTTTAGTTTGCAGAAATACTAAACAAACAACTCATCGAGTTTGTGCTTTCCTCCCGGAGGGGCAGAGTCTGGGCAACTGACTTAGGTCAGAATCTGGTTCCAACACATACGAACTGCACGGCCCGGGGCCCGTGCCTCAGCATCTGGACTCTGTACAATGGGAATGATGGCAGCGACACCAGGAGCCGTCGCGTGGGGCTGCACTCACGCAGGCTCTCAGGAGCCAGGCACCAAGCAAGGATCCTGTCAGAAAGATTAGGGGCCCCCTTCTTAAGGCCTGCACACAAGGAGTTTGGGTTCCCTCTGCTTTCTCAATCACAGGAAAGCAGGGCCTAGGACAAAGGAAAGATGGAACTCAGTATGTGCGTCCAGCTGGAGATCTAGGCAGGGAGACTGTGTGGGCACCTCCAGCTCCGGCTGCTTAAGGATCCCTCATCTTAGAGGGACTCTCAGTCTTAATTCCCAGTTTTCATTTTCCTAATCACAACCTGGCCTCCAGGGTCCTACTCTAGGGCTGGGTTCCAGAGGAGAAAGGAGAAGCAAGGCTGAGCGCTGGACTCGGAGTCCAGGTGGCTGATCTCTCGTCTCAGCCCTGCCACCCCCTACTGCAATAATTTAGTCAGATCACTAATTCAGACTCAAGAAGTAATCCCAGGCATGTCACATCTTCATTGCTAAATCATTTGGGGAATTTGTGGCAAACTGTAAGTCTCTTTCTCAAAAATAATATTAATTTCTGCTCGATTCCAGCCCTGTGGAAAATGTGGACAGGCATACCATCCTGCCCTAGACCGTGACTTCCCAAGGGCAGGGGGCACCGCACCATCAGCCCCTGGCCCGACTTAGGCACAGGGCAGGGATGGCCTGAAGGAGCGAGTGCACCTGCCGTCCCACTCAGCCTCGTAAGGGGAATCTCTCCCGGTCTGAACACAGGGCCCCGCCTCCCTTTTACCTATAGTCCCATTTCACTCACGTGGAGGAATGCCTCATCCTCTGACCCACCCTGGGCCCCCTCCCCAGCCTCCCTCCACCATCCCCAGCCCCTCCACTCTGTAGATGGGAGCAGCTGACATCAAAGCAGAGGTGGGGACATGCTCAAGTCCAGCTTGAAGCCACGGGTCCCTTTCTGAAGAGCTAGAGGCTGTTTTAGGGAAGGACCCCGGGGGATGGGGGGCGAGTAGAGCAGGCACTGAGCTGAGAAAAGCACAGCCTCAGGACAGGCCTGAGACAATGTTCAGAGGGACCTACAGGTCAGCGTCCACCCTTTCCCTGGGAGGCCTTTGGCTGCTTCCGGGAAGGGAACAGTATGCAGAAGGAAAAGCTGTGGACAGATGACCCCACCACTTCAGGATGAGGAGTTCAGGCCACGAGCTCCTTCAAGTTGGGGGAATGGGTCCCATTCTCTTAGAGACCCCCCAAACCCTTAGTGAGGTCTGGTCCTGTAGGGTAGGGATTTAATATCCGTTGAATTGCACTAAATTGAGCTGGACTGAAGTTGAGGGGGAAATGACACTGCGAGTGTCCTGGGGCTGAGGAAACAAATAACTACAAACTTGGTGGCTTAACACAACAGAAATGTATCCTCTCCTAGTTCTGAAGGCCAGAAGTCCCAAGTCAAGGTGTGGGCAGAGCCACACCCCCTCTGAAGGCTCCAGGGGAGGTTCCTTCCTGCCTCCTCCAGCTCCTGGGGGCTCCAAGTGCTCCTCGGCTCCAAATCTCTGCCTTCATATGGGCTTTTTACCCGAGTCTCTGCTCCTTCTTTTCTGTTTCTTATAAGGACACTGTCATTGGGTTTAGGGCCCACCCTAATCCATGATCTCACCTTGATTCTCATCTCAATTATATCTGCAAAGACTCTATTTCCAAATAAGGTCACCTTCTGAGGTTCTGGGTGGACATGACCTTTTGGGGGACACTATCCAACCCAGCACAGGCATTAAATAGCAAACAGCACAGCCAGAAATGGCCCAAAGGTGGTCGGGAGCTGGGGAACCTGGATCCAGGGACTTCTGTGGCTCAGGTGTTCCAGCTAGCGAGGGCTCCCCTTAGCATCTCTGACCTCCACTGCCAGCTGGGAGGTGGGGTTCCTGGCTCCCTTTTACAGAGGAGGAAACTGAGGCTTGGAGGGGTTGGGTGAACAGCCAAGGTCGTACAACCAGCTAGAGTTGGGACTGGAATCCAGGTCAGCTTAGAACCAGAGCTTGGGGGGTTCACAACCAGGCCAGGCTGGATTTGAGGAACCCCTTGGCACCATGAGGTCCCAAGACCTTTCCGCTCCGTGGAGCTGCGTTTATCAATAGAAGGCAAGGGTGTTGAACTGTCTTGATCTTCATGTTCCTTCTCTTCTGCATATCACAGATTTTGGAATATGGCTACTACCCTGGAATCACTTGAAAAAATGAGGTCAAAGGGAACAAGGATTAATTCAATTATTCATAGATATTAGTCTGTACTGGGAAATAAGGTGAGGAGACTCAGCTGGACCTAGCCTTGCCCCTGCTGCCTAGGCGTATTTTATACCCTCGGGAAGCTACCCTGACCTTCACCTGCATTCCTGCTCCTTCCTACACTGGCCAAGAACACCGCGGTGGCTCCGGGAAAATTTGTCCAAGGTGTGGAGAGGGGTAGGGGAGTGCGAAGCAAATTTTCTTTTTACCCCAACTATGGCTCTGCAATGTCCGTTCAACTGTGAAGTCCCAAGGCTGGAGAACGTTTTGTTAGGAAGTTTCCAGTACCTCGGAACATGTCCTGAAGAAATTCCTTTATTCAATAACTCGCTGGTGTGTACTGCCCAGAACCAGGGTGTAGGGTCCACGGGAGGAGGGAACTGCTGTGCACCCGGCCGGCCCCCCAGGCTTAGAACCTGGCACGCACCAGGCCCCCATAGAGCTGCTGAACTAATGAATGAACAGACCCCGTTCCAGATCACAAGACATCAGGAGAGGGTTCTCGAGCAAGCGCAGGGAGGAATGAATTTCTTGCTTCTGGCCTCGGTTTCCTTCTCTGTAAATGCTGGGCCCGCTGCCTGCGGTTGTAGGTCCCCAGCCTGCAATCCTGTGCCCACGCAAATGCCAGGGGAGGGGGCTTTCCTCCTGCTCCCTGATCCCTGGCCCGTGTATCTGCATCCTCTCGGTCCGAGCCGAGGAAGTAACCCGCTGACTAAGGGCTTCCCGTCCCATCCCCAGGCAGGTCAGCCGCCTCAGAAATGCGTACGCCGGCCCTCTGTGAGCTCACGGCCTTCTCACGGGCTCCCCGGGGCTGTTCTTAGTACCCTCTTCTTCCGGGGCAGCGCTCAGGGCTCAGAGAGGCCAAGCGACTGGCCCAAGGTCACACAGCTTGGCAGGCAGAGCCGGGATGGAGACTCGGGTCTCCGGAGGCCCCCTCCAGCGTCTTTTCGAAGAGCCCCGCCGCCTCCCTATTGTGACACTCCAGAATAAAACAGGAAGGCCAGACGCCCGGCTTTCACCCCAAACAAAGCTCCACGCAAATCTGCGGGAACAAAAGCAGCCAGAAATCCGCCCCAGGTTTTCCGCTCCGCCAGCCCCGTTGGCCAATCCACTCCGCCGGCCGCCGAGGGGCGGAACGGGGCGGTTCCAACATGATCGACAGCTCCCGGGAGGCGTGGCCTCGGCGCGGGCGAATCGGATTGGGGACTCGGAACAATCACGGGCCGAGAAGGGACAGGCCGAGCCAATCAGCGCTGGGGGGCGGGCCCCACCGGCCCGGCTGTCGCGAGAGGCGGCCACCCCGCCCACTTGCGCCTCGTCCCGGCGCCCGTCAGCAGCGGACGCGGCGGCGCGGCACGGC